TTATGACATCTCTTGCCAGTTTGGAAGTTTATTTTGTTATTTCACTGCCTGTGTGTAAGGTTGGGATGATTCTAAGGGCTCTGATCAGATTGGGAGCCCCCTGGAATGTGATTTAATTCGATACTATTTTCAATCAAGCCTTGTGTCATGACATGCTGTATGATGCCTTAAAATGCTTTCTAGGTAGACTGCTAACTAGGTTTTGCAACAGACCCATTGTGTTAATTCTTTGAAATGGTTTAAAGGCTAACGCTTGTGTGTGGCCTTCATTTGTCGTGCCTTACTTAGCTCTCATCACACACAGGAAGACAGACGCATCTAAAAGCTCTTCCTGGTGTGGGAACTGTCAATGTGCGCATCCTGCATCTGATATTCCCGCTCTCCCTCCCTCTTTCTCATTCCCACACACACGTTAGGGAGTAATATTCTTAGAGTTTATAAATGCAGTGACACTGATGTTTTGTCCACAGACATTTTGTAAACATGTTCAGTGGTATTCATAGTTGTGTTTATATTTTCACAGGGGTCGAAGGGGTCAACGAGACAAGATTCCTATCTGTCAAAACTGGATAGGTTTGGATCCTGAACATGCTGTCAATCCTATCGAGAGTATTGAAATTTTGACTGAGATGGTGGATGGGAAAGAAAAGGTTCACTTCCTGTTTGAATTATTCTTATTTCCTGAAGGTTTCCCTTGAATGTCTGAACCAAATTTATGTGCCCGCAAGCTGAACCCTGAGTGTTTTATGTGCCACCAGATATCCGAAACTTGACATCTAGGGTGAGGGAGGTGGTGGGGGCGAATGCGTTACAATTTCCACTTTCGAAATATTTAAACACATCTTCCAGTTCTTGCTTCCTGGATGGAGAGGGAATAAACACACATTAACACAGCACTCTCTTCCTGTTTTCTGTCACACCTGTGAGGTTATTTCCTGTGTGTGACCCTGGGAATAGGAGTGGCAGGGGAAAGAGAGACTAATACAGTATAAAGCTTAAAGGGATAGTTCACCAAAAAGTAAAAATTCTGTCATTATTTATTTACTCTTACTGTATTTCATTCTGAACCTCTTTCTTCTGTTGAGCACAAAAGGAGATTGAACCCCACTGGCTTATTTTTCAAAACATCTTCTTTTGTGTTCCACAGAAGGCAGTCTATACAGGTTTGTAACAACAATGTAAGGAAATAATGACAGAATTGCCTGTGATCCAAATGAAAACAAGTCAGTCTTTGAAACTGTTTCTGTTGTATCCACAGACTGTCAGCCGTTTGGTGATTCAGAGTGCCAATGTGTCAGCTATGTACAAGTGCTCGGCAGAGAACAAAGTGGGAAGAGATGAACGATTGATCTATTTCTACGTGACCAGTGAGTTTCACCAACACTTTTGTGCCAAACAAAGCTATGTGGATCTTCAATAGACACAGCTTCCTGATGGACCAAATTAAATCCTGCCCTACATTTTTTCTTGTTTAAGAAGCTGTTTCACTCGGTTATACTTCACAATAGGGAAGAAAAGATGATCACAACTTCTGTTTCATGAAAACTTTAACCCTGAGTATTAAAGGGGTCATATGATGTTGCTAAAAAGAACATTATTTTGTGTATTTGGTATAATGAAATGTGATTATGCGGTTTAAGTTTCAAAAAACATTTTTCCACATACTGTACATTATTGTTTCTCCTCTATGCCCCGCCTTTCTGAAACGCATCAAACGAGGCATTTGTTGCATTCAGTGGGGACATAATTACGGATTATAAGGATTTATACTGTCTTTTTACGCGTTGCTCTAATCTCCCAGGAAACAGTCCTCCATAAAATGTGCTGCACACATCTGAATATTTGGATTAAACTGTTCTGGAACAGTGTTGTAAATACAACTTAACCACTGATTTCTAGTTGTGTCCTCTTTTGGAAGACCAAACAAAGTAGTTTCGCTTTCACAATGAAACACAGCGTCACACACGCTGCCTAGAGTGAGCAGAGGCGGCGGGCTTGAGAACGGTACGGCCGGCGGATTCGACGAAGGAGGCTTAACAACCACATGTGACGACCCCGGGCTGGACTCCGCTTCGTCCACGGTGAAAGCCGATCTGGCGATCCACAGCGCAAAGTTGTTGCATTTCCTCAGCAACCGGCACGGATCAGCTCCAGGCATGATGAAGCGTCCTCTTTTGGAAGACCAAACAAAGTAGTTTTGCTTTCATAATGAAACACACAGCGCCTTCACGACATGGCGGCGGCGGCAGCAACAATACTACAGCGAGAATAAAAGTTACGCCTTCTTTCTTTGCGTGAACATTTGGGCGGCGTTATGCAAATCTTCCCACATCGTGACGTAGACATGTGGGGGCGTGTTAGAACGAGCCGTTTTAGGTAGGCGTGGCTGACTCTTAACTTTTATAAAGAATATCTCTTTGGATTTGAGACTTTAGGCTCTGCAACTTTACAGATCTTCTTTATGCACCAAGAGCTTGTAACACTCCAAAGAGAAAGGAAAACTTGAAATCGCATCATATGACCCCTTTAACCATAAACTATAAAAAGTGCTGTGTTATTTACAGTAAAAAACAGCAGCTGTGGTAGCCAGAATTTGACTGTAAGAAATACGGAAGCAAAATTTTAAGTTATATAGATTGATAAATAACAGTAAACAGTAAAAAAAAACATATTTCGTGACCTGAAATAATGTAAATATATCAAATGACTAAAATCTGTTTAAAATCGGTTACCCTTGTAATATACTGATAAACACCTTAAAAAAACATTCAAAACATTCTCAAAAACCTAACCTTTCATTGAAGTAAAACAATTGAAAATGTGGGGAAACTCTCATTATGAAATAAATGTTTTTCTCTAATACATGTTGGCCACAATTAATGGCACCCTAACTCTGAGTCTTCTCGTATGATGCCTAATGAGTTTGGAGAACACCTGACAGGAGATCAGAGACCACTCCTCCATACAGACCCTCCTCTTAAGTTTTCCATAGGGTTCAGGTCAGGGGACTGGAATAGCCATGGCAGAACTTTTTTTGTTGAACCCATTTTTTGTTGATTTTGACGTTTATTTTGGACCATTGTCTTAATGCAAGATCCAACCATGGCCCATTATAGGATTTCTAGGATTTCTCAAGTTTTAATTTTTTTATCTGTTGACTCAACTATTTTCTCCAATTCTCCAGTTGGAAATGGGAATTTTTGTAAAGCCACTTTAGCCACTCTATTTTGTGAAGCACAACAATCTTTTGCTGCACATTAGAACTATATTCTTTGTTTTTACTTACTGATGTATTATTAAGAGAATTTATCCTTTGTGTTCCCTCATATTTATAGTAATATGAAACAGGAAGCCAAGGCTGGACAATTTCATGTTCTTAAGCATGCTAAAAATTGTAAATCTGAATGGGTATATACTTCAGTATATTTTACTCATAATAATTTCTAGGGGTACCAATATTTGTGACCAACGTGTATTAGAGAAACACATTTATTTAATTTGTTGCAACCACCAAAGCAAACCAACTTAAGCTCAGGAAGAATCAAAGACATTATTTCCCCCCAAACTTAATTTTTCTTATTTTTTTCACATTGTGGTTCAGGGCTTCCATACTTCTTTAACTGGGTATGCGAACTAATTCATCAGAGACGATAAGAAACATCATGGCAGGTGTTGATTCAAAAGTAGGGATGTTGCCACACACACACACACACACCACACATCAGTTTTACACTTTTACACATTAGTTTTATATTAAATACAATGCCGTAATCGAGATCTGGCAGCATTTTTTTACATTTGGCCGAGCAGTTTTCGTGCGCATAAAAATCACCCACATGCTAACAAACCAGTGAGACCAAAGAACAATAATCATAATACGTAGCGATGCATAGATGCATAGTGCCAAAACTGCTGTGCATCCATTTAACAAGTTTTTACTGTAGCATTTTTACCATTAAAATTAAAATGTTCCTGTGGCTCAGTGGTAGAGCATTGCGTTAGCAGTGCAAAAGGTTGTGGGTTCGATTCCCAGGGAACACACATACTGGTAAAAAATGTATAGCCTGAATGCACTGGAAGTCGCTTTGGATAAAAGCGTCTGCTAAATGCATAAATTAAAATTACCTAATCAAAAATGATTATTTTAGAGTGTACAGACAGAGACATGAATACCTTAAGTTGTGTGGTTTATCCAGGAGATGTGTGCCATTATTTTTCTTATTATTCATGTTCATTTTCTATTCAGCTATCCCAGAAGGTTTCGGGATAGAGATGGAGCCCTCGGAGGATCCGCTTGAGCAGGACCTGGTACTGTTGAAGTGTAATGCAGATAATTACACCTATGAGAACCTGCGGTGGTACCGTCTGGACCCGCAAGCTGTTCCTCCAGAGCTGGACTGCAAGAGTCTGCACCAGTACACCGAGTCTCTGGGGGGGAAGCTATCGTTCCAGACCACCAGCAACAACTGGGTGCTGGAGCTCACCATTACCAACATCCAGCTACAGGACGAGGGAAACTACGTGTGTGAGGTGCAGAACCGGCGCAGTGGAGAGAAACATTGCCACCGCAAGTACATCCCAGTCAAAGGTGAAGGTCATTCATTGATCAATTTTCTAGACTGGCATGTTCTGTAAGTCAAGGGACCTACTTTCAAAACCTAGTGAGTGGTCTTGCTGTCAGCATGCTGTTTGATACTTATTTTCACTTTTATTTATATAGTGCTTTTAACAATACAGATTGTGTCAAAGCAACTTTACAGTATTAAATAGGAAAATAGTGTGTCATAGTGTGTAATGCAAAATGATAATAGTAAACACTCAATTTTCGGTTAAAGGCAGTTCATCATTGAATTCAGTGATGTCATCGTCCAGCTCAGTTCAGTTTAAATAGTGTCTGTGCAATCAAGTCGACGATATTGCTGGATATTAAGTGTCCCTAACTAAGCAAGCCAGATGCGACAGCGGCAAGGAACCAAAACTCCATCGGTGACAGAATGGAGAAAAAACCTTGGGAGAAACCAGGCTCAGTCGGGAGGCCAGTTCTCCTCTGACCAGACGAAACCAGCAGTTCAATTCCAGGCTGCAGCAAAGTCACACTGAGCAGAGGACTCCCGGTGGCCGTCTAGGAGACATGGTCTTTACTGGGGATCTGTCTCTGGGGCTCATCTAGTTGTCCTGGTCTCCGCTGACATTCGGGGCTGTAGAGGTCGTCTCTAGGTGCTGATCCACCATCTGGGCTGGATACAGACTGGATCCGGGTGACTGCAGTGACCATCTGATCTGGATACAGACTGGATCTGGTGGCTACGGTGACCTCGGAATAAGAGAGAAACAGACTAATATTATCATAGATGCCATTCTTCTAACGATGTAGCAAGTACATTGGGTGTTATGGGAAATGTAACTAACTTATATAGAAAGCTAACTTCTAAGATAGCATCCTTAGAAGTAAGGATAGAAATAAGTACATTTACAATTAATGAAACAATATATCTTCAGGATTCCTTAAAAACTATTGTCTCATTAGGTTTTGGAACAGAGGTTGAATGTGGATTTTGTATATTTTACTTTTCATTGTCCACTGATAAGGCTGTCTGTACATTTTAACCAGATACATCTCTTTTAATCATGCGGGACTGTTATTGCCCAATGTCAAAAATAGCCAGTATGTTTATAACGTGTCTGTATGTCACTGTCACTACAAATGATTAGCAATGAAGATCTAACCAAAACTAAAGGCCTATTCTCTCTCTCCCTGTGTCTGTTCCAGCACTGGAGGCACCACGATACCGTAACAACCCCACCAATCAGACGGTGAATGTGAGCGAGTCGCTGCAGATGGAGTGTGATGTTGAGGGCACACCCTCTCCCCAGCTATCCTGGTTTAAAGATAACCAACCCCTCCATCAGATATCAGGTTAGTCATTCATGGCTGTCCTTCTCCAATGTTATTAGGGGTGTTGGGCCCACTTATGTGTCTTTAACTACTATGTCCTAACATTTAAATCAATCATTTGATACAGTGTACTTACTGTGTACATACATGCTTTTACATTGGTCTATATTTTTTAAAAAACCTGCATGGATGTCTGTGATTAATATCTGTAATTACATCTATAATTACAGTGTTACCCTACCCCTACCCCGTAACCCACTGAAAAACCTAACCATATACCAGCCAGCAGCACATATACTATTTCTTAAACATAACAATGAAATAGCAAAAAATTAATTCCCAAACATATTTGTAAAGGCCTGAATATCATAGAGACATTGATGGGGGGTTCTTTTGAACTGGGCCATGAGCAACCACCCAGAAAAAAATTATAACCTAAAAATGGTCACATCCATATGAACTGTTTTATTAAAAAAGTTTTTATTAAAAAATATAATTTAACATCACCGAATCAACCCAAATAAAATATATATCAACAAACTCATTTAATTAAATCAGGTAGAAATAGCTGTTTCATGTAATGATTACTGCTTACCACAGTGTAGAAAACATTTAGCATCACCCTACTATCCCAAACATGTTACAGCTGCATAGCGATGCACTAAACATTCAGAATACCCTAGCAACCGCATATCAATGACCTGGCAACCACCCAGGACACCACTGCGGCAATGAGTTTAGCAATGGCAAACTCTCACATTTTCTAGAGAAAAGTCTAAAAATCTAGTTTAATTTGAGGGACCTCCTACTTTGAGTTTGACAGGATATGTGAAGTAATAGGTATAGATTTAGGCATGAAGATATAGCATTGTCAGCTTTAAATTTACACTAAATTCTTCAGTTTGATTTCCTTTCCATTTGATTTCCTCTTAATTTCTCTGCATGTTGTTTAGCCGTCTTCAAATTAACATTTGAAGCTTCTCCAAAACAATTCCATTACAGATTACATTTTACTCACCACAGCAATCCCCTCTAGTTTAGCACATTTGAATAGGAACACCTTTATTCATGAGCACATACTAACACACACAAAATTGAGTTCTGGTACTGGTAAAAGCACTCCATTCATGCTAATGTACTGGAGATCTGTTGGATTGGAAGTTGGATAGGCCACTGGACTGCAGTATAGTAGTATATCGTGAATAGCTGGAACAAAACAAAACAAAAACCACAGCTCTGGGAATGTCTGTGGGTTGCTAGTGGGCTGTAAGTGAATTCACACGCAGTGCATGTACAGTGCTGTTTCTTGATAGGTGTTATGGAGGGGGATATTATATTGGAGTTCAAGAGCTATTAGCAGAAGGTCAGTGTGTGACTGGACAATGTGTTAAACTTTTTTTTTTTTTTTCAGCCATTTCAATTCATAGCAAAACCACAGACATTTTTATAGATTGTGACATCCAGTACAGTTCTGATTAAACTTTCAGCACTGTAGCTGCAGCAAGCAGCTGATTATTATGTTATAGAAGGGAGGGCAGGCTGCTTTTCCCTGCTAATTGCACTTAGTGTGTCATAGAATGGAAAAGGGCAAGAATCAAAATTCCTATTTCCTATAAACCCTTGCTTTAGGCTATACATCAGATACATTTCAGTTCCACATTTCAGTTTTTCTGCTGTTTTCAACTAGATTAGGGAACACATTCACTATTAGCTACGTTTTTTCCCTGAACAAACTCCTAATTTGCTGCTTATTAATAATTAGTAAGGTATCTGTTAAGTTTAGGTATGTGTAGGATTAAGGGATCTAGAATATGGTCATGCAGAATAAGGCATCAATATGTGCTTTATAAGTACTAATAAACAGCCACTATAGTAGTAATATGCACACTAATAAACAACTAGTTAATAGTGAGAATTTGTCCTTAAAATAAAGTGTTAAAAAAGTTTTTTTTTTTTTATGGCATCAATGCAAAAAAAAAAAAAGAATCTGGAGCACACAGGGCTAAAAATTCACATTCTTTTTTATTTTCTGAAAGTATTGATGAATGAAGAATATCACAGGTTATACCATGATGGATTCTTTTTCTTACAGTTCAGAAAACAGAAAAACATAAGTCAAGAAAGCCATAATAAAAGAGGATGCTGTGCCATAAAGCCATGGCTGGCAGATTGTGTGTTTGACAGTTTTTTGGATGTGTTCAGGGATCCTCCTGCAGGACTCCAATCGGACTCTCAGCATTCAGCGAGTGCGAGAGGAAGACGCCGGTCTGTACACCTGCACAGCCTGCAACCAGAGGGGCTGTGTTCAGTCCTCTGCCACTGTGTCAGTCATCGGTGAGAGCCTCTTGTTTGCGTCAGGTGGTGCTGTAGTATACAGTTCACTCTCCTTACTTCAGGATTGTGCTTTGCCCTTCAATTCATATTATTTAGTGGAACATATACAGTAGGTTCAAGCTTATACACAGACTAACACACACCATACACATTCACACACATTTGTTTTTATATCATAGTGAGGGCTTCACCCACTGATGGCTATTCTTAAATATTCTTAATCTAATTTTAATTACTACCCCCTTACCCCACCCTAACTAAAACTAAAAGTTTTGATTTGTAATTAAACTTGTTTAGTTCCTTTATGAAGATGTGTTTGTTGTGAGGACCCTAACAGACATAGCTCCTTTCTAACCTTCATGCATCTGTTCTGTATCATTGTGTACATAATAAAATGTGTTATATGACAGCTAATATGTAAATTTCCTTTAATAGTAGTATTTGTAAAAAAATATACATATATAATTTAATTTGTTAAATATAAAATTTTATAGCCTCTCTTTGAGAAAAAAACAAGCAACAAATTTGCAAAACTGCTGAATCTACTACATGTTATTAGAATGAAATCAATTTAGAAGATGTGGACTTTCATATTCAGTTATAAAAGTAAGCTTTAATAGAAAAATGTGTTTTGTCTGCCAGGTTCTGATGACAAGACCAATGTAGAAATAGTGATTCTCATCGGGACGGGAGTCATCGCCATCTTTTTCTGGGTCCTTCTCCTTGTTATCTTCTGCAACGTCAAGCGAGTCAGTACAATGTGTCTCACAATAATAACAGTTCAATACAGCTCTATTCATGAACATAGTGATTCAAGGAACATTATTTAAATCTGCCCATGATGTCAGCAAGGCTTTTCAGTAATAATATGCACTTCCAAACCATATCAGCACTTCAGTGTTGAACACGAGTAGTGGAGTCAGCAATTCTACAACATAATGTGGAGCGCAGCCGCCTCGGGCTCGCTGTTTCTGCTTTCCTATGGGCTGCGGTGTCATCCATCAGTAATTGTTATGATGTTGTCCTGCAGGTGAACCCAGCAGATATCAAGACAGGCTATCTGTCAATCATCATGGACCCGGGGGAAGTGCCGCTTGAGGAGCAGTGTGAATACCTGCCCTACGACTCCAGCCAGTGGGAGATAACCCGAGACAGACTGCGCCTCGGTACTTTCACAGATTGTCCATTTTAAAAACTCTGATATAGGTTTTAAATTGGTCCAAATGAAGAACATTCATGGCTTGGATCCCAGAAGTAAAGCACATTTATGGTCGAGACATTTTCAGGGGAATTTTAATTCAGCATTAGGCTTGACCCAGACTCAGGAATCCTTGTATGATGTGATAAAGGACGGTTCGTGAGGAAACTGCAGAGTTGATGAAAAGCTGATATTTGTTTAAAACAAATGTAACTTTAAAATATAGAACTGGGGCTGCTGAATTATTCAAAACAAAACTGAAACAGCCATATATCTTATCAAGACATGATTATCAAATCAGGCTGTTAAGTAAAGAAGTACTTCAGAGCGGCTCAGTTCACAGTAAATGCTGCTTCTCCCGAAACTCCAGCTCTGCTGTGAGTTTAACATGCATTTGGGAATGTAATGTGCGCTAGGTTCACTTTGTTTACTTTTACAATTGCGTAATTTCCAGCATTTTGGTGGACAGAAGTTTACAGCATTTCACCAAAATAAAAAGGTCAAGGATTTGAATGGTTGAAAGTGAAGAATTTAAGACATAAATATTTGAATGATCATTTATAGTGTGTGTTGGTTCTTGTGAAGAGTGAACCCAGATGTGAACATCCTTGAAAGTAGCTATTTTCAGTAGCAGCAGAGTCTTTTTTTTGTTTGTGTCTCGATGTCTCAGCATGAGCAATATGAGACATTCAAGTAAATATTTTATGTTTAAGGGGTTCGGCTGACAAAAAAGTTTGGGAACCCCTGGACTAATACATCATCAGCTTTAGCACATGGATGTTATGCATAGCAGGAAGATCACTGCATTTTCACTGTGTACAGTTGTTAACCAAGAAATTTTGATATCACTTGTTCATTAAATTGCTTTCATTGGTTCAATTATTTAGAAGTGGTCAGAATTATTCAGTCCTGTTTACTAATAATTTTGAAATGGCACACTAATCAAGTGTACTTTTTGGGACGCATTCTAATCTTGCATGCTATGTATGAAGGATAGTAAAACATTTGTTTTACTAACATTTATTCTTTGTTCATGTTTGCAGGGAAGGTGCTTGGGCATGGAGCTTTCGGGAAGGTGATCGAAGCTTCATTCTTTGGGCATGACAAGAAAACCTGTTCAAACACAGTGGCTGTCAAGATGTTGAAAGGTTCAGTCTTACCCATAAACTACAGTGAATACAGAAACGTCCATTTATATACATAGATCCATATACTTAACGGTGTGTGTGTGTGTGTGTGTGTGTGTGTGTTTGTGTGTGTGTGTGTGTGTGTGTGTG